TGTGTGTGTGTGTGTGTGTGTGTGTCTGTGTGTGTGTCTGTGTGTGTGTTATTATTTTCACTACTGATTTTACAAGCTGCCTAAATAAAATATATTAAATATATGACGTTACACATATTTGACGGTTATTATCTAAATAATCTAAATGTGTTTGTTGTTATAGACATTTACGCATAAAGGAAATACATCAAAGTGATGAATAATGAAACATAAATCAGAAGAAAGTGCAGCAGCTTTTTATTTAAAAGCAGTTTCAATACATAAACATATTTGTGACTTTAATGAGAACAGAACAAACACTGAATGTGAAAAGATGAAAGATGTACTTTATGTACAGTTATAAATAGAACAGGTTTACATTCACACACACTCACCATCATCAGAGACATAAACACAGACATGTCGTTTCATGTACAGCAGGATCTATATCTATTATGTTCAACAACCGGAGGAGACGTTTATGATTATTAAAGGTTATCAGTAGCTGCTGTAGTAGTTCTGTAGTTTCAGTGTTTCTTGTTTTAAAATGAACTCATGAAACGATCAACAATAATCTGTTTTTACTGTAAAACACAAAAACAATCTGTAGACAAACAGGAAGACACTGACGCATGACCTGAACGCAGCACGGGGATCACAGTAACCTGATGTCTCCAGACTCAGATATAGTATTCACACACACACACACACACACACACACGCACACACACACACGTGTCCAACGACCAATGAAACCCAGAATGACGTGATGGTGTTATATTTAATGTGGCCGAGTGAATGAAAACAATATTAGAAATGTGAGTATAGATATGGCCGTGATATGAGCTCTGTTCAGCACTAATATCAAGTTGCATTGTGGGAGATGTAGGACCCAGTGATATTTCATGAGACAGCAGCTGAAGACTGAAGCACTTTGTTCATGAAAGATGTTTCTTGAGATGTTCATCTATGGTATGGTATGGTCTATAATATTGTATTAATATGAGCATTAATACGTTTGGCAGCAGGATAATCACTGCTTTACAGAAGCAGGTGGATAGATGTGCTTCAGGGCTTCTCCTTGGGGGGTCTGTTGTAGCAGCCCTTGGGGACGGCGTCCACGATGTCCTTCAGGTTTCTGATGTCTCTCATGATGGCCTTGATGTCCAGGTTGATGCCGGTCACCCGGCGGCTCAGGGCGGCCTCCTGCTGCTCCATGTCCCTCAGCCGAGGCCTCAGGACGTCCTCCACCTCTCTCTGAGCGCCGCCCACAGAGTCCTCCAGGCTCTTCAGCTGCGTCTCGTCCACCGCACCGGTCTGGTCTGAGGAGGAAGAGGAGGAGGAGAAGAAGAAGGTGAATATAGTTCTGCTTCTCCTGGTTTGATGATAAGAAGCAGAGAGAACACGGCTGAACTCACTGGTGTTGGCCAGCAGACTGCTGATGTCTCTCAGGGTTTGTCCCACGGCGTCTCGGGTCCGTCTGGCGTTGTTGAACGCTGCCGTCGCTTCCTCAGCAGCCTGCAGAGTAGAAAACATTCACGTCACGGTCGGGTTCGGGTTAACCTCCCGGTGAGGACGCGTATGAGCGTACGTGACCTCATATCATCCGTTATTCTGAACCCAGCATGTCTATTCATGAAAACACCAAAGTGCTCCCAGAGACGCCGCTGAGGAGTTTAACGCAGTCATGCCACGAACATCAAGCCAAAGATATGAGAACATGTACGTAGTCATATCTTCTGCATATTCATTTTATGTTCTCTGTAATATTGTAATATATTAATATTCTATGAGCCCAGTTGGCTTTTTGCCTCTTCCTGCTCTGTGATATTATTTATCTGTTATGTTTGTTTATCTTTATTTTATTGTTTAAATTGAGCAAACTAAATAAACTAAATAAACTAAACTAACTGTCTCTGGGAAACATTAGTTGAGAATCCTGCAGGAAAATTGGGACGAAATACGAAAACATTTCCCAGAAAAGTGCAAATATCATTTGAGCTGCCCAGACAAGAGGAAGAGGATGACGCAGTGATGAGTTCAGTTTTTGGATCAATGTTTGGTGGAATGTGACGTAAAGTGCTAGAACTAAGGTATAGACGTCAGACGTCAGAACTCTGAGGCTTTGGACCATTGTGAGTAATAAACGATCCATCCTGCGTCTCTCCTCTTCATTCTTCGTTCGCCTGTTTTACCTCCTCGGCGTCGGCCTCCAGCTTCCTGCCGGCGTTCAGCTCCAAGTCCAGTTCTCCGGCGGTGTCTGACGCCTGCGTCTTCAGATCCTGCGCGTCCTTGTTCAGCTTGGTGGCTTCATCCAACAGACCGGCATGAGACGGAACATTTCCAAATGTATCCTGAAGAGAAAAGAAAACCCGAGTCAGCACCGAGAGGACGTCCGAATACTGGAATCACGGGTTTGTATGAAAAGCACAGATCGAATGTAATCCCACTACATGCAGAGGAAGAACAAGTACCAACAGTGCAATCTAACGATACACAGATAACGTATGTATTTTATGTATATAGGATATTCAATGAACAGGATTCTATTCAGACAGAACTATGAAAAACGATGTATTAGTTCAATCAATTCAAAAATGTTCCAAGAAAAGAACAAATAAAAGCAGTCGACGGACATACTGACCCGATAAGAGACGAGAACCTACAAGAACGTTAACGGCCTTCAAACAGCGAGTTAACAGTGTAGACGCACCAACGTCGCCCTCTACAGGCAAGAACAGCAACGACAGCTTCAGTACTACACTGTAATAGAAATCTATGTGTTCAACTTAAAAACGTAAGTTCAATTGCTGCCTTAAACTTTCAAGTTAAGTCAAATTGGATTTACAATTTGTTTCAATTCATGACTTTGAGTTTACTTTAGCTTTGGATTGCTCTTTGTAAGTTCACATGAATGTATAGGATGCGTTTACTCAACTTAGCCATGCAAGTTAAAAAGATATACAACTTATTATCATGCATTCTGTTCACTTGTCCCAACTAGTGATTTCAACTCACATATTTTAGTTAGAAGGAAGTCTTGAAATTACTTTCCAAGTTAAAATGACCTGAAAGTATGAGTCGTTTCAAATCTCGTTTTATATTTTACAGATTAAACTCAGTTCTCTCAGCTTTGAGTTGCATCGTGTTTCCTGCAGGAAAGGAATGAAATGGGACGAATGAGGTGGACGACAGATTCCAAAAAGCTATTCAGGAAAGGAAATAAATGACAAAAATATGAATACAGTTTAGAATGAAAGACGTTTAGGTTCGGAATAGAAAACGACTCAAGTTGCTTCGAAGTTCCAGACAAAGTTGAGTTAGTTTTGTTCTGTCAGGAATGAACCGTGTGTTGCTGCTGAGCTCTCATGTCAACACACAACTGCTTCCACTAATGAAGACCGAGGGAAACCTTGAGATGAGATCCATTAGAAGACATGAAACTCATCTCACAGCGCCGGTAATCTTTCTCAGATTCCTCATTTCTGTTGATGATCGGTCGTTACCTCCAGATTCTTAACCCGGTTCGCCAGCACGCTGACGGATCCTAGCGCCTTTTCGTAGCCTTCAGAGACATCTCCCAGGACGGAGACCGTCTCCGCGTTGTTGGCGACGGCCTGCTGGATGGTGGCGTTGATGCCGGGGAGTCGCTTGATGGCGGCGGCGGCCTGAGCTTTGCCGTCATCGATCTGCTGGTCGAACCCTGTGGAGGAAGAACGAGGAGGAGTCGCATTCAGTCCAGAGTTTATAGGGCAACCAGAGAGAGTCTGTGTGTCTGTCTGTCTGTCCGTCTTTCTGTCTGTCTGTCCGTCTGTCTGTCTGTCTGTCTGTCTGTCTGTCCGTCTACCTCTCAGGGTGTTTAGGGCGTCGTCTAGCTCCTTGGTGTTGCTGTTGATGCGTTTCAGAGCGTCCTCGGTGTCGGTCTTGGCGACGTTGACTCTGTCCAGCAGCTTGTTGAAATCCTGCAGAGATGAAACCACATCAACTCAACTCAACAAGGGAAGTGTTCATTTTAGACGTCCACAGTGTGTGAAATACACAGGGTTTCTAGGGGGGTCCGAGATGCCCTGAGTGACACTTCAGACCCCCTGAATAGCAGAGTTATAGCAGGGGGCCTCTAACTTGATCTTTTGGACAAATTTGAGCATTTCGCAAGAACCTGGATTAAAGCAGCACATCGTCAGACTGGATTGCCAGTCTGGATTGCCCCTGGGTATTTTGCACCTTGGATGTCAGACTGAGTTCCCATAATCCTTCAGTACCTGCTGGGCGGCCTTGCCCCTTGCTAGCAGTTCCCCAGTGACGCCCTTGTCTTGCAGCACGCCGTCCTGCAGCACCTCCAGGTCTGAGATGTCTTTATCCACCTCCTTCTTCACACCGTCCAACCTGGAAACCATGGCATCCACCTGCCCCTGAGCATAATGAGGAGAACAGAATAAGAACGTTGAGTGTGTCCTTTGAGGTTGGGAGGACTCGTTGTTTTCTAAAGGTGGACTGCACATCTCGGTCTCACCTTCAGGGACGACGGGATGCTTTGCTCCAGCTTGGCGATGTTTTTCAGCATGCCGTCCGCCATGTTGCTCTCGTCTTTGGCCTCGCCGCTCAGCCGGGCTGCCTGGTTCTCCAAACCCTTCACCTGGCCCGAAGTCTTGTCGTACCTGGACACACGGACATCATTAGTTTAGAGTCTCAAACGCAGATTGGCGTTCGTCCCGGTATCCTTGATTATTGATAATCTACGGGTCATCCACTGGGAATGCTTCACCTTCTGTCCTGAAAAACCCTAACCCATGGACCTCGGCAGCCATGGCTGTGGAGAGTCAGGATTAAACATTTATCCAACAAGCTCCTCTACCTTCACTCTGCTCTTAAGACCGGATCACACCAGCATTGTTTGGTGAAAACAAACCCGTCCTCACCAAGGTGATCTCTGGGACTCGTAGTGTCCGTTACAGTCTTGTACCTTTTGTCTTCTTATCATTGACAAATACTTTTTTTACAACTAAACAGACACTGAGGACAAATGAACAGGACCGTCGCATATTACCCATAATCCCCCTGTTAGTAAATGAGGAATCTTAAGTGGGAGGAGCTCAGACTGACAGAAAGAGACTCACATGGTTTTGAGATCTCCGATCAGCTCTTTGACTTTGTTCTCTTTGTTCATGAGGGTTCGGACCAGAGCGAGACTCTTCTCTGAGTCACTTAGAGCTTCGTTGGCGCTTCGCTGCACAGCGTCTGCCTTCGTCTGATGTCTGCAGGACCGGACGGAGAGGAGGAAGTGATGAAGACGTGGTGTCAAAACTCTTCATCGGTTTATCAGTGGTTTTTACCATGAAATGAATATGATGGACTCACTTATCAGCCAGACTGGTGGCCGTCTGCTCCAGAGAGGAGAGGAGGTTTGAACCCTGCGGAGCGTCTCCAAGAGGAATCCCCTGACAGGAAGGAAGAGACCAAAGCAGCTGTTATGTTTATGCTCCTTTAAACTCCAGATATGACCTTCTGACTTTATGTTGGACTTACAGCTGATCTGAGGTTGGCCTTGGCCTCGTCCAGTTTGCGTTTCATCTCCTCCATCACACTCCGAACCTCCTCCACCTTCGTCTTGTACGTCTGCTGCTGTTGTTTGGTGTCGTCCGCTGCGTCGCCGACGTTCTGGAGGACCCGGCCCTCGGCCAGCTGACTCCTGCTGATGGACGACAGGCGGCCCTGCAGGCTCTTCTCCTGACCTGTTGGAACACAGGAGCGTCACTTTGACGATTGCTGCGTTAAATAAGAGACAATCTTTAAAAGCGAGGTGAACGAAACGTCTTACCTGCCAGCAGCTCGGTGTCGTACTGCAGGTCGTCCACCAGCTCCTCCGTGGCCCTCAGAGCAGCCTCCAACTGATCCCTGCCGGCTGGATTCAAACCCCCGGCCGTTCCTGAGAACAGAGTCTCCAGCTCCTTCAGTTTGCTGGCGTACGCCTCCATCTGAAAACACACAAAGAGTTCAACCAACTCATTTAACCCCCGTTTGTTATTGTGATTGACGTTGCTGTGTTGCCAAATCTCGGGTCGTTCACTAATCACAGGGTTGCAGGTTCGATCCCCCGGCTCCCCCTGTCCACATGTTCTCTTGTCCTTGAGAGACACCTCGATGTGTGAGCGAATGAGAGGCAGTGTTGGTGCTGACATCGGCATGCTAACGTGCTAATGTTGAGCAGGTACAGTGTTTACCATGTTCACCATCTTAGCTTAGCCTATTAGCATGCTAATGTTAGCTAATTGAATGTCTTTTGTTCTGCAGGTGTTTGGTCATAAACCAAAAGTAACATGTTGACCTGATGACGGCGCTATGATGACGAGTCAGAGGATCAATTAAGCGATCACCATCCATCCGACAGTTGTCGTCGTTACCTTTGTCTTGATGGGGCTAAAACAGGCGGGACAGTCGGACCTCTGGCACCCCAGACCCTCGTAGCCAGGTCTGCACCGACAGCGACCCGAATCATCACACTGTCTGGACTCAGAGCCCCGAAGGTCGCAGTCACACGCTGGTCCACGAAAACAAGAGAGGGAACAATCATTTACACGTGTGACCCACAATGCAATGTTCTATTACGTTAGAGTTAAAACAGTGGTGAAAGATGTTCGGGTGTAACCATTTCAATTGAGCCAAATTCCACCTAAAATACTAAAGATTTTCTTTGCTTTTCCTTTTACATCTTAAATTAAGAGGCCGAACTGGAATAAAAAGCTGAAGATTTCTTCATCCAACAATTCAACAGTAATTTATTCGTCCGTAAAATGTCAAAACAAAAATGTAAAGTGATGTTTTAAACCACATATTTACCCAACAAACCAAATAAAATCAGAGAAACCAGAGAGTGTGCATCGGGAGCATCCCGACTGATCTTACGTTTGCAGGCGTCGGCGGCTCGTCCGTGGTAGAAACCGGTCACACAGGCCTCGCAGCTCGGACCCATCGTGTTGTTCGTACACTTCAGACATTCGCCGCTGCTGCCATCGCAGCTTCCCGCCACGCTGACGTCGATGTGTCCGTTACACCGGCAGGGCCGGCAGGTTTGCTGCACAACGTCACCACGAGGAGGACCGCGGTAAAAACCCTCCTGACAGGCGTTACAGCGAGGACCTGAGGGGACATGGTGTAGATTTAGTTTCATATCGGAAGACAAGCAACTATTCATACAGTTTTACTTCAGAGAAGGAAGAACACAATAATCAAGAAGGATGTGGGAGCAACCACAACCTCTGATTAAGCCAAAGCTTCATGTGTTAAAGCTGCATTCTCTCTAGTGTCCACCAGGGGGCGACTCCTCTGGTTGTATAGAAGTCTATGAGAAAATGACTCTACTTCTCTCTTGATTTATTACCTCAGTAAACATTGTAAACATGAGTTTATGGTCTCAATCTCTAGTTTCAAGTCTTCTTCAATACAGCATGATGTTCATTTAGTACATTATGGTCCATTTAGAGTCAAACAGACCATAAACCAGGGGATGCTTTGGGGCGGGGCTACACAGTGATTGTGGGGAGATTGTGGCTAAGTGGATAGCAGGGCCATCTTTCAACCAGAGGGTCGGCGGTTCGAACTCCGGCTCCGCTAAAAGAACCCTTAAAAAATCGATGTGTCCTTGAGCAAGACACTTAACCCCAAAATTGCTCCCGTAGTTGTGCCTACGGTGTAGAAATGTGATAGACTCTGAATTGTAAGTTGCTTTTGGATAAAAGCGTCTGCTAAATGACTGTAATGTAATGATTGACAGGTCTCTACAGTTGCTCTTCCTCAGTCCAGATATGGTCACTTCCTGTTCACTGGTTGTTAAAAAAAGAGATGGCGACGCAAAATCAATGAACTCAAGGCTTCAAGACCGCAGTCCACCAACCGATGAGGGATGTCACGATGACTACGTCCACTTCTTATATACAGTCTGTGGTTACAGCTCATTGGTTGCACTTAAGGGTCACCAAGGACTGTTTGATTAAAGTTTAGATATATAGATATAGATATAGATATCAAGATACAGATATAAGTTGGGCCCACGGTATACCACGGTAGCAGTGTTTAAAGTGTTTTAGAGGTCTAGCCATAGAAATGTTTCTGTGTAAATGTTTTAACAACATGAGGCGCAAACGGGGGAAACGATGACAAACAGATTTCTAATCTCCCGTGACGTCATAAAGGTAGTACTGTGATAAGATATAATAGTCCTGGAGACCAACCTGTGGTTCCGGTTGGACAGCGGTCACACCGGGGCGCCAGTGAACCTGCAGGCAGCGAGCAGGACACTCCGTCCGGACAGGGACACTTCACACAGGTGCGAGGCTGCCAGGGGTCCCGGTAGAAGCCCTTGGAGCAGCTGAGCTCTCCGGGCGTCTCGTCGGCGGAGTAACAGTCGCCCGTCTGCGGGTCGCAGCTGCCTCCTCTGCAGCTGCAGGGCTCACAGGTGCCGAAGGCGTCGTCTGTGGGGGTCCCACGTCTGAAGCCGGCGGCGCACCGCTCGCAGAAGTCGCCCTCGTAACCCGGCGGGCAGCTGCATGTCTGGACCCAACGTGCCCGAGCGCCGTCGGCACGCCGCGCCGTCACCAGCCGCACGTTGGCGAGATACCCGCGTCCTGAAAAGACACAAAAGTTCAATCAAGATCGTCCTCCAAATATCTAGAATAAAACAAGTCAAAATGTCTTTTTATGGAGGAACTGAGTTGAAAGTGCTGAAAGCTGAAAGTTTAGCTTTATTTTGAAAAACTATGTGTGAGTGCTGAAAGCTAAACGTTTTGCTTTATTTTGAAAAACTGTGTACTTTTGTTTGATGATGTGAACAGAAGACCCAGCTGAAGGAATATACATTTGAGAGAAAGAGTTGCTCTCTGAAACAAAAATCAAAGGAAGCACAGAGTGGATGAGGAAAGGAAGTAAGTCAAAGAGAGGGAAGGAAAGAAGGAAGCTCACCATTTTCTCCGAATGTTGCCCGGATCTTGATGGCGGTGAGGTTCTGGAGGAGCGTCTGGAACTGTGAGGAGGAGAGCTGAGGCCTCCACCTGCTGCCGGGCTGCTCGTCCAGTCTGTTCATCACACAGAAGGAATGTTGAAACACAAAGTTCACAAAAAACTTCACATTAAAACACTGGGCCTTCACAGTAAAAGCACGTGGAACACATCTACTACAGTTAAAGTCCTCATTTTATGTTCTCTGTAAAGGTAAATCATACGTGAAAAAAAGGGAAATATGGTCTCAATATTTTGTACTATTATTTTCACTATTGTGAAATCGTAATGATTTACTGTGGTCATGATTATTTTTTCTTTTGCCTATTTTTACCCATTTAAATTCCCTAAAAGAACCCTTAAAAAATCAAATAAAAAGGAATTTAAATGGGTAAAAATAGGCAAAAGAACCCTAAAAAGTACCTTAACCCTAAACAATTTAAATTCCTTCTTATTTTATTTTTTAACGTTTTGACTCTGATTATTTTAGATTCTTACTTCTAAACCCAAAATAAACCTGATCCTCCAGTAAATGCTCCAGTTTGTTTCTACTTGCTCTGATTAGAAGCAGCAGCATTCTTCAGGAATGTTCACACTTGAGTGCAAAAGAAAACATTTAAGTTGGAACAAGAACGAGGGGCGTTTGATTTAAGCAGCCTGGAGCACCGGGTGGGCGGGGCTTATCGATGTTCTAACCTGAATGTGTAGCTTATCTTCTGTCCACAGGGGACGATGGAGCGCAGGTCGCCCAGCGAGGCCGCCGCTCGGAGGCCGGCGCCTTCCAGAACCACGTCGTTGGTGGACGGGTGACGGACGCCGCGGTCCAGACGCAGCGAGAAGGAAAAGTTCTGACCGTAACTCAGCACTTGATTACCCAGGTAAGGAGCTGTGGGAGAGAAACACCTGGTGAGGAGGGAGGAGATGAGAGGAGAGGAAAGAGGACAAGACAAAAGGATGTGTGCAGAGAGGATAGGAGAGGAAAGTAGGGGCTGGGCAAGTGAGGAGAGGAGGCGAGGAAAGACAGAAAAGGTTAGAAGGAGGATGAGAGGGAAAGAATGGGAAGGAGAAATGAGAAGGAGGAAAGGTAAGGAAAGAAGGAGATTTGAGGAGGTAAAGGAAAGGAAAGAAGGACAAGGAGACATGGAGAGAGAATGAGGAGGAAGGAAATAAGGGGGAGAAGAGAGGACATGAGAGGAGGAGAAGAGGATGTATAGAAAAAAAGAGAAGTAGAAGAAAGGAAAGAGGGAGACATGATAGAGAAGGGAGGAGAGAGAAGGAAAGGAAACAAGGACAAGTAGACACAGTAGGAGGAGATGAGAAGGAAAGGAAAAGAAAGAAGGATACATTTGGAGAGGCAAGGAGGGGAGAAATGAAAGGAAGTGATAGGAGGGGAAAGGAGAAGCGACAAGGACAAGAAAGAAGGAGACAGAAATCGGTGGGAAAATACATGAAAGAAATGAAAAGCAGATGGATGACAGAAGGGGCGTAAAGGAGGCGGGGCTTGTTCTCACCTGGGGCGTACAGGTAAACGGGCAGGCTATTTTTGGAGATCACCTCCAGGTCGTGGTGCTGCGGTGACCAGCGGAAGTGAACGTCGTCGAGGGTGACGCCTTGCGCTGTCGCCACCTTCCAACCGTCCGGACCTGAAGACACGGCACGGAGAATCTGTTACAACCGGTGTTCTCTGAGGCTTTTATTTTGAAATGATTACCCAGAACCCACTACTGAGATTGACAGTGAGGTCTTTTATTGTGAAAGTTACCGTCGGCAAAGGTGGAGGTGATGTTGTGAACGGAGTAACCAGATTGTGCAGAACATTTGCTGCTGTGACCGTAACAGAAACACATCTGACTCCCAGAATCCTCTCTGGGCTGACGTCTAAAGAAAAACCACAACAAGCGACAGGAAGTTAGACCAGAAGTGACTCATAGATGTAAGTACTGAAAGGAGTTGAAGCGTCAGAAGAAGTTAAAGCACTGAAAGGAGTTGAAGCGTCAGAAGAAGTTAAAGCGCTGAAAGGAGTTGAAGTGTTAGTTGAAGTTTAAGCGCTGAAAGGAGTTGAAGTTAGTTAAGGTTAAAGCGTTGAAAGTAGTTGAAGTGTCAGATGAGTGTTAAATCGTTGAAAGTAGTTGAAGTGTCAGAAGAAGTTAAAGCGTTGAAAGTAGTTGAAGTGTCAGAAGAAGTTAAAGCGTTGAAAGTAGTTGAAGTGTCAGAAGAAGTTAAAGTACTGAAAGGAGTTGAAGTGTCAGTTGAAGTTAAAGTACTGAAAGGAGTTGAAGTGTCAGTTGAAATTAAAGTACTGAAAGGAGTTGAAGCGTCAGTTTAAATTAATGTACTGAAAGGAGTTGAAGTGTCAGTTGAAATTAATGTACTGAAAGGAGTTGAGGTGTCAGAAGAAGTTAAAGCACTGGAAGGATTGCTAGTTGAAGTTCATTAATTAAAGAGACGCTGATGTAAATGTGAGATAATTTTACGTGTTTCTTCACCTTTGCAAGCAGCCGTTTCGTCTGATCGGTCCGTCTGGGCATCGGTCACATTTATCTCCTGTGACTCCTTCTTTACAGCTGCAGCGCCCCCTGCTGTCACATGTGGCACTGACAGAACCTGGAGGCAAATAAACATTAATAAAATGGGATTAGTTTCTCTTTTTCAGAACTTTGGTGAGTGATTTATTTAAAAGCTACATGTTGTGGTTTCTCACCTGTGGGGTTGCAGCGGCAGGGTGAGCAGCTCAGCGCCGCCCCCACCAGGTGGAAGCCGTCCTTGCAGCGCTCGCAGTGGCGGCCCACAGTGTTTCCCTGACAGTCGACGCAGTGCAGGCCCCAGTCGTCCTGGAGGCAGTACCGAGATCTCCCATTACAGTCGCAACGCACTGTCGCAGCAGGAGGAGACAGGGAGGTAGTTTAGTTATAAATGTATTTATATAATTTATCGTTCATCGTTATCCATCGTTTATCCCTATCGGCCGAAACCAGCTCGTTCAAACCAGTCCAAACCAGTCGATACTGGTCTAAACCAGTTGATACCAGTCTCACAACTGCTTTTTTTTCAGAATCTAGTCTCATTAAGTCATTGTTTTGCATTAGTCTCACTTACTTTCTCAGTTTTAAAGGTTGTTTTAAAATCTTTAAATCTTTTACATAATTGTAATCATATTTATGTTTAATTTAGATTTTGTAGAAATGTAACATTTGTCCTGAGGGTGGCGCAAGAAGAATGAACATGTGTTCTTTTTTATGAGGGGGGGGGGGGGGGTTTATCTGAAGGGTTGATCCTCTGAAGAACTAGAATGAGATCAGAACATTTCATTAAACTTGGCCATTCAATTTGAATAATACTGGAAAAGAATTGACATTTGTAACCGATGGTGGTGTTGGAGGAAAGTCAGAAGGTCATAAAATATTTAGGAAAAACCCACAAATTTAAAGAGGATCTGAACTGAATGTGAAGACAAAATCACAGTTTTTCTTTTCCTGAAAAACTCAGTGAGTTTTAGAAATGTTGACAGAGTCCTGTGGTTTGTTAGATCCCAGAGAGAGCTGCACCTCCTATAGCCTGAAGCCCTGAAGACAAATCCTCAGAGTCCACAGAGTCCCACCCAAAGCAGCCAACGCCTCGTCTGAGGAAACAACACAACGAGCTCTCTGACAACGCTTCATCTTGAATTCTGATAGAGTTTCAACAGGCTGCTGCTTGTCACTGCTGTGGGCTCAGAGGGGGAGGTTCATGCCCATGAACAGTCTTCAGTGGTGAAGTTAAGTAATGACAGGCAGGAAGAATGAGACTGATGGAGGGAAACGTCTTTGTTTTAATAAATGATGTTTCAGATCAAACTCTCCGGTTTAAACCAGTGGTTACCGGTTTAAACCTGTCGAAAACCTGTCAATACTGGTCTAAACCAGTGGATACCAGTCTAAACCAGTCCATATCGGTCTAAACCAGTCCATACCAGTCTAAACCAGTCTATAACAGTCTAAACCAGTCCATACTGGTCTAAACCAGTCCATACCAGTCGACATTGGTTGATACCGGTCGATATGGGTCATAACCAGTCGATACTGGTTGTAACTGGTCGTTGTATTGAAACAATTCAAAGTCGAGCTAATGCTAACGCAGCATCTCTTGGCTAGCTAACAAGCAACAGAGCGGCGGTAGCTCAGTCTCGAGGATCCTCGAATGTTAGCCGAGCTCCACGCTGTCTGACACAATCATTTCAGCTTCATACTTCTTCAGTTTGTTTCATCCTGATGGAGTAAAACACAAAGAACTCTTTAAACTACCGTATCGTTTACAAGTCGGTGTCGTTAAAGTGTGTTTTATTTGTCGGCGGTGAGTTCAAGGTGCGTCTGTTTGTTCTGGTGTCCGAGGTTCACCTTCAGATATCAGCCGGTGATTCACGGCGTCGGTGGGCGAGACGGCGTGACTCACTCGGTGATAACAGTTCATGTT